TTAGAATTTGAAAGTAATTAATTACTTCACTTTACTTAGAAAAATATTTAAAGTATTCTGGAATATATAACATTATCTATTAAAATATTATAATATTAATATTAAATACTTAAATTAATATTATAATATTAATAACATTAATATTAAATAGTCAAATTAATGTTAATATTAATGTCATTAATATTAAATACTTAAATTAATATTATAATATTAATAACATTAATATTAAATACTTAAATTAATATTATAATATTAATAACATTAATATTAAATATTAATATTAAATAGTAATTAATGTTGTAATATTAATATTAAATACTTAAATTAATATTATAATATTAATAACATTAATATTAAATAGTCCAATTAATGTTAATATTAATGTCATTAATATTATAATATTATGTTTAATATTAATATTAATATTAAATACTTAAATTAATACTATGATATTAATAACATTAATATTAGATATTAATATTAATATAAATAGTCAAATTAATGTTGTAATATTAATATTAAATACTTAAATTAATATTATAATATTAATAACATTAATATTAAATAGTCAAATTAATATTACAATATTAATATTAAATACTTAAATTAATATTAATAATACTAATATTAAATATTATTAACGTCAAATACCAACCAATTAAATAACAACAATATCAATATAAAATATAATACTATAGTATTCAAATATTATATATTTTACTTAACAGACTAATTATTCTAAATTAACTTTTAATTTTAACTATTTATTTCACGCACGATATAACTGTTGGCAAATGAGAAACTGTACCGTTCTCGAAAGCGAAAATCTCACTGTTTTGGAAAACATTTGTCATCGGCGTATGTGTATAGCATAACCGATTTTAGAGAGTTAAAGTATCGAAACTAGGAGAAACTCGTCATTAACGCAACTACGCGTTTCGAGTGCTCGTAATCAACACCATCGCGATTGCCAGCCGCTCAATCTCGCCGTAAAGTGCACTTTATAGCTCGAGCGTCCGTGTGTGTGTATGTGTGTGTGTGTGTGTGTGTGCGAGCGAGCGAGCGAGCGAGTGAGCCGCGCGCGCGCTCGCGTACGAACGAGCGAGTACTCATCGAAATCGTTTCATCCGGTGATTATTATCGAGGAACGAACATATTAATTAAAGCCGCTCGATTTGATCACCACGTCCAGCGTAAACTTTCTACAAACGATAATTCAATTTGCCGAATGTTCATTGCCCGTTGCGTTTGTATTACACCCGCTGGATTTAACAGTTTCATAGTTACGCGGCACCACGTTTCAGAATCCATGATCCCAACGGCGGTCTTGGAACATTTTACATGTTTAACCGCCCACTGTGGATTCATTCAGCTCATCGTGCGATATAATGTGATCCTTCTTAATTTCACGTTGTACTTTACAATGCAATTGTTCATTGACACAACTTTGTGTTGATCGAGCATTTTTAATCGAACGAATGTTTTCAATTATCATCACACGTTAAAATTGCTTGAATTACTGTTATTTGAACTGTTTTTTTTTTTAAATTACTTTACAATTATCTTTTTTTTTTTCTTTTCTGGTTCAATTGTTATTCCTCGGTTGGATTATTTCTCCAGAGCATTCAAATAAATGTCAAGTACATCGTAGAAGCAAGACTGATTACGATCAAAGTATCACGGCCTCTGGTTTCTATGAAATTTTGAACGATTTTTTTTTGGAAAATGCACGGACAAAGGTTTGAAAAATTATGTTTGGGCGTGTTTCGAAACATCCTGTATACACACTCTTTACGGAGCGACCGAAACGATTTGAATATCTAATGCAATTGAACTGCTTAGTGGATTTATCTCCGCAACGGGCATTGTTTCGTCACCGAACTGCCTTCCACAATTGGTCGCAATTGTAGCTCAACTAAGACTTCCGGTTTCCGATCGGAATTAATTCGAATTATCTGTTTAACCGTTTAACTCGTCGAAACGTTCCGGTCGACTTGCAGAATCGATCATCCAATAGCGATAACGATAACGACGACTGAAACTCACAGGTGGAAAATATTGGAAAAGTTCAATGAAAATTTGTTAATAATTTACCAATAAATCAGAGATCTAGGGTGACACGATATAAATATAAAAAATTTTATCTCGGAAACATCGATGGTCACGTAAAGAAAATCGTCACCGAGATCGAAACGTTATGTTTTCATCGAGATCAACACGAAAATACGAGAACTGTATCAGAAGCGGGACGAACAACTTTATAAATTGTCGAAAGGACGTGCGTGGGATACAATCGATGTTTATCGACGAAAGAGCGGACGAAAAATAGAATACAGGGCTTGTCGTCCTTGTCCAACCCACACACGCAATTATTCGCCGTTTTGAAAAATAATATTCCAAATGGAAGTTCCTCAGAGAGAACTGAAACATCCGCCGACGAAACGTTTGCTAATTGGATTCTAATTATTTTCCAATCGAATTCCAATGGGACGTCTCTCGATTGTTCCAGTCTCAGAGCAAAGTTTATTGACGAATAAAAAAAAAAACAGGGAAGATTATACGGATATTAAAGTCGTAAAGTTGGGAATATCGAGAGCAAACATTTTAATTTCGCCTATGGATATTTCGCACAAATTTGATGCTCTACAATTGTGTATTCGGGTATTTGGACGTCCTACAGTTGGATATTTCGATATTTGATACTCAACAGCTGAATATTTGGAAATTTGAAACCTAGCAGTTGAATATCAGAAAATTTGATACTCTACAGTTGAATATTTGGAAATCTGACACCTAGCAGTTGAATACCAGGAAATGTGATACTCTAAGGTTGAATATTTGGAAATTTGATACATAGCAGTCGAATACCAAGAAATTTAATACTCTACGGTTGATATTTAGAAATTTGATACTCTACAGTTGAATATTTGGAAATTTGATACCTAGCAGTTGAATATCAGGAAATTTGATACTCAACAGCTGAATATTTGGAAATCTGACACCTAGCAGTTAAATACCAGGAAATTTGATACTCTACGGTTGAATATTTGGAAATTTTGTACATAGCAGTCGAATACCAAGAAATTTAATACTCTACGATTGATATTTAGAAATTTGATACTCTACAGTTGAATATTAGGAAATTTGATACTCTACAGTTGAATATTTGGGAATTTGATAACTAGCAGTTGAATACCACGAAATTTGATACTCTACAGTTGAATACCAGGAAATCTGATACTCTAAGGTTGAATATTTCGAAATTTGATACCTTGCAATTGAATATTAGGAAACGTGACACTCTACAGTTGAATATTAGGAAATTTGACACCTAGGAGTTGAATATTAGGAAATTTGATACTCTACAGTCGGATACATGAAAATTTGATACCCTGCAGTTGAATGCTAGGAAAATTGACACCCCACGAACTCGGATGTTTGGAAATTTAATTACCTTACAAATATTTAACACTCTAATTACGCGTTCGACAAATTTTGATATTCAATTCACAATCTCATAATATTTGGACACACGATGACACGTATCTAGGCGCATTAGTACTAGACACCTGATTCCATTCGAAATTCTATATTTGAATATTTGTACGCCCCACAGGACGAAGGATTCGACACAGACACATTTGCATATTTGGATTCCACACTCGCGCGAGTGTCTCACGACCAACGTTTGTGTTTCCTCATCCATTCGCCATCAACATGAATCTTCGCCAGTCCCTCGGAGCAATCTCGGAGCAACTTCAATTCCAAAAACATCACCGATTCACCTCCCATCTCCACCACCGTGAAGACAAAACAAACTCGTACCAACACGTGGACCGACGAACGCACGAGGAGAACGTACGACAGAGAATTTCGAGAATTTCCACGTGAGTTTTCACTTTCCCCCGGCCAATTTCCCGGAGGATATTAAATTACCCGACACGCGAGGCATTCTCGTTCGAGCCCCAGGGCTGGAAGAAGTTCGCGAATTCGCAGAGACTTGCGAACTTTCCGGCCAGGGAGTTTAGAAGCTCCGAGACAAACTGCTAAATTATTTTCGATTCAATGGGCTCGCGCAAAGGGAGGCAGAGTAGGGCAAAAAGAAGGGGGGGGGGGGGAAGGAAAAAAGAAAAAGAGAAGAAAAATTCCTTGTTACAGGGGTCGTCCATTAAATCGGCAAAGTCTGCAGACTCCCCGGAGGGAACGAAGAAAAGAAAGTTCCGCGGCTAATGACGCGGTACTTTTAAAACGACCTGGACTTACGCGCTGTCTCTGAATCATTCTAACCACGGGGGCATAAATATTCGGCAAAAATTAATTGAAAGGCCCCATTCTCCTGCTAAACTGCTCTCTCTCTCTCTCTTTCTTCTGAATCCTCCGGAACGACAAGTTGCTCCGCCGTTCAAAGCAAACTTCGTATTTTCGCCAAGTCAACGTTGAAGCTGAATCTCGGTACGACGTGAAAACTGATAAGCTCTTCGGCAGAACCGTGGGCGAAACTTCAGCCCACATTTTAGATTTATAGAAAACTGAACTTTGTACGAAACACCATAGGATCGGTGGGAAAATCTGAGATGAAATTTGCCCGGTGTACAAATAAATTCGTGGCTTCTGAGAATTACGGCAAAACCCAGGAAATCTTAAAATCTCCCGAAATTTAATTAATCATCTTTTGGAGATTATGGTGTAAAAATTCACGTCAATTTGGATATTTGATACACTGTAGGGATATCTAATACCCTGACTGACTACCGACGGAGCTTGACAATTTTGTCGGACGTTCGACACCAACCAACAAATTTGGAACTTTAGATTTTCGGTACCACAGAATAGTTTAGAAAACCTTCTGATAAGTATATAAGTCTATTTATAACTCTACACCTACGTTATCAAATTTCAAAATTGGAAGACCTCGTCGTTGCCTCATACGATCTTCCGCATTCTTACCCCCGCAGATTCAATCACAAATCATACGAAAAACTATTCTGAACGTCACTCACCTGAAAGTCGAACTTCTCGAACTCCTGTTGCGTGTCGATGTCCACGTTCCTCGGCACGATGATGGGGCAGGTGTCCAGCGAGACCCTGGCGTCCGGGGATTCGACGTAGTCCGGTGTAATGGAGGTCAGGCCTCGATCGTATCTCAGTTCTTCGTTCAGTATGCCGGCGGACGGGCCTGTGGATGGTGCCTGTGCCTGGTTAACGTAGTACAGGCACAGCAGCAAGGTCAAAAGGACCGCGCAGACGACGAACACGCGGCTGGAGCCGCGTCGAAGGATCTTGTACATGGTCCAAGGGCGGGGTTCGCTTTGGGGCGAGCGTGGCTCGACTTCGATTCACCTGGTGCCGCGATAGACGCTGGATCCCGTGTCGGTGATGCTCGAAGATCGCTCCCCGACTTGGTTGCTGTCGTCTGTCGACTTCATGGGACACGTCCGCGCTCACACGACCTGGAAAGGCATGTTGGCACTTGGTTAGAACTAGCAAGATGCTTATCATTCGAACAACTGTGGGACCTAGGAGGTCCCAAACGTGGAAAAACAGGTTTCCAGCCTGATTGGTGTTTGTAGATGTTCATCGTGCTTTATTTTGGATCTATGTGGATTTGTGGATTACTTGTGGTTGAAACTAGCGTGTTTCTCAGTCGGATAAGGTCTAGATTCCGGTTTCGAGTCTAATTGGACGCTCGTCATTTGAATAACTGTGGGTCCAAAAGCCTGTTTTGCATATCCCAGTCAGTTAGTTAGGTATTCTGTTTGATTCCTTCAGATTTGGATTACAGTTCGAAGCTAGAAAAATATTTTGATCTCACTGAGAGATGCAACGTGACAAATCATCATTCAATCGACAAATTAGTTCAGGGAATCGCACGAATGTCGAAAACTATCCTAAGGAGACATTCACCGGGATTCAAATCCGTTGAAATTCTTGTAACTCTCTGACACCAAATCTCTGCCATTTTTTTTTTTTTTTTTTTTTTTTTAAACAAAAATCTCTCTGCACAGACAGACGAAACCTCGTGATCTCGACTGCAATAAAACCAAGAAAGAAAAAAAAATGGACTTCAAAATTCCCATTGAAAGTCGCAGTATCGGCACGATGGCCGACGATTTATCGGCGCGAAGCTGTGTGTTATTGCCTGGGAATATCGAGAGTCGAGGAGGAGCGAGAACGGTGTCCGAGGAAGAGGACGGAGGTAAAAGTAAATAGCTTTGGCTATAAATTACGAGGGCATATACAAAGAGGAAGAGAGGAGGGGGGAGAGAGGTCCACGGGGTTGATTAAACGTCCATGAAAATTATGACTGACTGTTTCGACTGTCCGCGAAACTGGCCGAGGCCGTGCGATCGATACGCGTACCAGCGTCGATGACGAGCGTCAGTCGGATTTTACCAACGAGTTTGGTTTCGATCTCTCTCGCGGAAGGATCGAGTCTGTTCTGAGAAATTCTACACGCCTCACGAAGGTAATTTCGAATTTCTGAAAATTTACGTATTTACTGATGATTAAAGATAATATAGATCATCGTGAGATGGTAGATAAATTATCATTGCTATATTGGGAAAATTTAAGGTGTTCAATCTCCATTTTGTATCTTGTATTCTTTGTGACAGAGATTAAAGTCAAGCTTTAAAAAAAAAAATGTCAAGATCAAGCGACGCGAAGCGTGAATCTTTGCGGCTTCCAATGACGTAATGATATTTGGTGGTTGACACCGTAACGACCAATTATGCTCGCGAGTGACTTTTATTAGGAGTTCAATTTACAATTGCTGGAAATCGCATGACGCTGCAGCAATGAACGCCATCAGTCATTAAGCGCTGAAAATCAGACGATGCTGCAGGAACGTCATCGACCACGAACTATTGAAAATGACAGGAAGCCACGTTAGTGTCATCGGCCTCTGATCGCTGAGAATCACACGACGCCATAGCTGCGTTGTTACAGCTACACTTTGCAGACTCTCTCCTGTACGAAGCGTTAACAACATTTCGAAGCAAGTACACCAGAGTCGTTCTCTGACTGAGAACCTAAAGAATAAAGAAGCTAAAGTCCTGAAATCAATATACTTTCCACGACAGTCTAACCTTTAACAATAAATCGTGAGATTTCGTTCCAAATCCCACGCAAGTGGTTGACGGCGGCTATAAACATAATGAAAATAAGAAAAGAAGAAGAAAAAACAGAAAGTACAGCACTTGCCACGAAACCTGCCGCTTATTTGTCTCAAAATTCTCACCGCGACTAGCAAACTTACACGTTTGAAAATACAATTTGCACCGCGTTGCGCGAACCGCTGCGTTTTATTATTATTTCGTACGTTCTTACGTGTCCCGTGCAATTTTCACACTTCGCATAAAAATTCGCAGTCTACCGACAAACACAGCAAAACGAGATACTGCGAGGGGGGAGAAAAAANAAAAAAAAAAAAAAAAAAAAAAAAAAAGAAAGAAAGATACTGCAACAGCAACTTTCCAGTCGCGTAGATAATACTATGGGGGCGGGGAGGTGAAGCAATTTTGATAACTGGAATATTCGCAAAGTTCCCGCGGATGAAAAGTTTCTTACGCGATTGCGGAACTCGTAAAAATTTTAGGCGAGCGCGTGACCGCGCGGGTTGAAATCATGCAGGGGGAGGGAGGCGAGATGGGGGAGGGGTGGGGGGCGATCCAATTCTGGCGAGAACAATAAATACGACCTGGTGAACCAGAGACACGATTTCCCAGAAACCTTCAGTACCTGGATGTAAGGTCGATTCGCACGCGATAATCGATCGTACCTGTCACCGCGACCCCCTCCCCTCCCCTCCCCCTCCTGTGAGGGGGAGGGGGGCGCGACTTAAATACAACGAAAACTCGAACATCCATTCTCTGTTTCATCTGTGATCGAACTTCGAGCAACGAAACTTAAGTGTCATCGAGTTTTCAAAAGGAAGAGACGAATGTCGTATATAAACTTTGTTTTTTCTCATTTCTCATTTGTTTGGAACCTAACCTAAATTTGACTGGGCTCGAAGTAACTGGATACGAGGTTTTTAACGTAATTCGAGATTGATTTAAAGAGATGTGCGCATCTGTGAGTCAATTTGTCACAGTTTTTGTTGCAATGAATCATCTCAATTGTTTAAATTGAATTCTATATACGAACGACGATTTTTCGGTTTGTTTTTGAACCTAACCTAAATTTAATTGGGTTGGAAGTAACTGGATACGAGGTTTTTAACGTAATTCGAGATTAATTTAAAACTGTGCGCATCTGTGAGTCAATTTGTCACAATTTTTGTTGCAATGAATCATTTCAATTGTTTAAATTGAATTCTATATACGAACGACAATTTTTCGGTTTGTTTTTGAACCTAACCTAAATTTAATTGGGTTGGAAGTAACTGGATACGAGGTTTTTAACGTAATTCGAGATTAATTTAAAACTGTGCGCATCTGTGAGTCAATTTGTCACAGTTTTTGTTGCAATGAATCATTTCAATTGTTTAATTTGAATTCTATATACGAACGACGATTTCCCGGTTTGTTTTTGAACCTAACCTAAATCTGACCCAATGAAATTAACGGGAACAATCCAAGAGATTCTGCAACATTGCGTTTCTGTTCACAAGCAAGATTTAATTAGCATTTAGACTTTTGTCTCGAGACTCAGTCACGATTTCTATTACACGTTTCTTGGAACCTAACCTAATCTAAATCCAATTCTAAGCGAGGACTAAAGAACTATGATTGAAATTCACATTGTTCAGTGTACTGTCTAAAGAAATCTTTTCATTTTAATGTCGGTCAGGTTTGGTTAGGTGGTTTTATACAAATTTGAATACTTGTGAATATAATTAACTGTTTTACCCACAGATAATTGTTTTATCAACGAAAATATTACAGAACTCGATATTTCACATATTTATTTTACGGTGCAATTGTTACACAAGGATCGAAATTAAGATTCTTCGAAAGAAAAATATCGTTCGAGCAAGCATTTTAGAATTCTTTCATTTCAAAATGTTCAATCAAATAATCCCAACCAAATTATACCATTTCATCGAAATTGTTGTTCATTTGTTTGCCGCAAATATCGAAAAATTTTTCACCATTGACGAACAAATCATCCCAAACATTTCTACAATCCACTTTTGGAAACAGACTCCTGCTCGAAACATTCTCGATCCTTGTTGTTCAGTCGCGCGTTCATCTGGCTGTTCGAAGCGTTTGCGAAAATCGAGAAAATCTGCTTACCACTCCGAAGAATCTGCCCTCCACGAGGGCACGGATCAACGGACGCTCGACCTTCGATTTCGGTTGCGCTCCCTCGTTCAGCAACTGACGAACGAGAGAGAGAGAGAGAGAGAAAGAGACGACGACGAGCAGAGGCGCAGAAGAGGGGTCCGGTAAAAATAGGGGTTGGCGCGACGAGTGGCCAGCCGGATTCAAGCTGCCCCCGGCCCTTTTGTCCGACGAGCAGACGTGTCGAGGGTGCTCACTATCGCGATTCACTCGATACGCTCGACGAAGCGGTCGCGAGGACGCGGCCTCTTTGCAGCGTGCGCCGAGTCCGCCGCCAACCCATCCAGGAAGAACGCGTCGCTTCCTTAATTCGATTTACTTCGCTCGCTCGTTCTCGTTCGTTCGTTCCCCTCGGGCTTTCCCTTGCTTTCCTTCAGATTTCCTTCCGCCCCTCTCCCGACCGTCTCCTCTCTGTCCCCTCCCGTGGGACGCGGTCTGTTCTTGGATCTCTCCCTCTCTTTCTCTCTCTTTCTCTTTCTCTTTCTCCCTCTGTCTCGGACCTGGTCTCGCAGCAGGAAACGATACCCCTGAAAATTTACAGAGAGAAGAGTCAGGACAAATAATAAATCTCGAAATTAAGCTCGAGCTTGCTGGCCGAGAGTCGAGACTCTGTCGAGTTTTCAGGAAATTCGGGAAGATTTTGACATTTTCTTTCTTTTATCTTTTTTTTTTTTTCTTCCAAGATTTTATGTCAGTTTCTCAGACGAATTTTAAATTAAGTAACTGCTCGATGTTGTCGATCGGGAGCTGAGATTCTGTTAAGTCCCGCGGGGATTCAGAAAAATTTCGAAACTCGAGAGACTGAAACGCAACTTCGGAAAAGCTTCACGAATTTCTGGACATTACCAAAGAAAAGAGATCGAATTGGAAAGCTACTCACGTAGTTTCTAGTAAATTGTGTTTCACGAAAGTGTTTTACCAAATTATTTTAAATGTACAATTTAGTATTTTGTATAGTTATTGTTTTATACATTTACCTACTATATAAATATATTATTATGTTATACTTTTATACACTTTTACATATTATATAAATATATTATTATATTATACTTTTATATACTTCTACATACTATATAAATATATTATTACATTATACTTTCATATACTTTTACATACTATATAAAAATATTATTATATTATACTTTTATATACTTTTACATACTATATAAATATATTATTATATTATACTTTGTATACTTTTATATACAATATAAATATATTATTATATACTTATACACTTATAAACTTTATACATTTATATACTTGTAAGTATATTATTATATACTTTTAGATACTACGTACTTTTATATACTTAGTATCATACAAGTATTTCACTAAATCCTTTCAAAAACAATATTCTTAAATAATATCCTATATTATAAGACACTTAGTTCCAAAGCTTTCCTTCAATCTGAAACACTGAGCATACAAAATTCAAGAAAACGATTCAAAAATTCTCACGTGTAATCCTCACGTGTTCGAAATCCAATAAAACATCAAAAAAAAAAAAAAAAAGAAAAAAGAAAGCCTTGCAGAAAGATTTAAGTCGACAAGGTCGCTGTCGAGAGAAAATTTCAATCTTCAATCTCCGTGGTGGATCCAGTTGTGAAAATAAATTTTTCACGTCCCCGGAGAGCGTTCAAGCTTTTTTTACAATTCTCGCGAATGCGAAATTTACCAGGACACCCTGTACATAGAGAGATGTATTCGTTATTTCTCCGAGGGATTTTAAGCCGATTTAATTTCAAGCTTCTCTCTTTTTTTCTCCTTTTCTCTCTTCTACTTCTTTTTTCTTTTCTCTTTTTTTCTTTTTTTCTTTTCGTCGTTCAACTTCCATTTTAATCCCGGACTCGAATTCTTTTAGCTCTTCGTGCAATTTGTGGCTTATTTCTCGCTGGATGTAATTTAGCCAGGAAACGGGTGATCAACGATTTGATTTCCTAGAAATTCGCCGCGCGACTGCGTGTCGCAGGATACTACTATGACAGAGCGGAATTGATCTCTAAAGGCTGATACGAAGCTACGAGATTGGCATCTGTTTTACGTCGAACGGTTTCTGCTACGTGGGAAATGATTCTCGTCGCGAGGTCAATCCAGATCTCTAACCTGTCCTTTTCTTCTTTCCTTCTCCTTTTTTTAACTGCACGACAAATAAAAATGTACTCGATATTGAATATCAATTCACGATTTCTGATTTCCCGAAATTCCATTTCACACTTCATTTCTAAAACCTTCAACATTCAATTCCTAGACACGTAGATTCGGAAATTTGGAAAATTTTAAACTCGACGAATATTTACGAGTTTACGCCCAGCAAGGTTGCAAAATGCAAAATCTTTCGCGGAGAAATAAAATTATATTTCTTTAAAAAAAAAAAAAAAAAACAAATGTACATCTTGTGTTGTTCAATTGCTAAAAATTTGAAGTAAATATGCGACTAAATATTGAAACCAAATATACTAGGGATTTTATCTGAAGTGAAATTGTTTCGATTTTCAAGAGAATCTACTCGTTGAAACCGACTTTTCTATCCATTTAAAAAAAAAAAAACAGCTATCTGAATCTGAACGTGCAATTCTCAACTCTTTTCGTTAATAAAAAATAATTACTTGACGTCTGTTATCTGTTATCTATTATTACTACGATACACACGCAAGAAAGTTTACCATCTACGAATCATTTTAAAATTTTCTTGATTTAAAATTGGCCGTTCGCCAATGTTTCGCGAGTGCCAGCATGCAAACAGCCGGTGTGTTTGATCCCGATTGCAAAAAGAATTTTAAAACAGAGAGGAGGAGAGACAGCGGCGAGAGAGCAAGGGGGTGGTTAAATCGAGAACAGGTGATTCAGCGTTTTCAGTAGAATCGTTCGGTCGCGGGTCAGACGTTCAGCCGCGTTACGCAAGAGGAGTTCCGTGGAAACTGGAGAGTTTCCTCCGGAGATACCCAACGATCGGTAGACCGCAACCGACCATCGAAAACCTGTGAAAATCGTCCTGATATACCGCCGGGACGACTCGTCCTGTCCTCGCTTTGCATCCACCCGGCAGTTTACCCGAGAATCACGCCGACGACGAGAGAAAATCCCCGAATCACCGCCGGTTCCGACGTTGCTTATGAATTTTGTATACATTCGTGCACAATTACTTATTTATGCCGTTGCCGTTTATTGAAATTACATCGTTCGTACTCTTTTATTCATTGTACACTGCATTTTCTATTTGTTTTTTCGTATCTTCATATCTGTGTAATATTTTTACATGTCACGTTCTCCGCTCTTGTGCAATATTCCTTTCAATTTGTTCAAACATCAACCAACAGGAAAATTGCTCAGATTTCTGCTGCTACGAATAGATTGTACTTTTTAATTTTGTTTAAACATTAACTGAAACGAAAGGAAACGCATAAAAATATCTCCGTGCCAGGTGCTCGAGTATTTTCGTGAATCATTGCGAGGATGTACGTACGTTGAAATCATTCGTGCAACAAACGAAAGAAAATATTGTCGCAATTTGCCAATTAGCGAACGAACTGCTATCATCACAAGGCGGCTACGAGGATGAATGTGAATTTCGTTCGCGATCTCGCAAACGTTCCCTTACATCCTCTTTGCTGTCTTACAAAACACCGCAATTTCACGTCAGCGGCCTGCGAACGCGTTACCACGTTCCCGCAGAAACCGCCAACAACCTAACCCGACCGATTCCAAAAAGAATATCCACCATGCATTTCCCAGGCAACCGAATCGCCGACATCCCCAGCTGAACTTGCAAACAGCATTCTATCTAAAAAAAAACACGTAGCGTAAACGCGTTCATCGTTCACTGTCCTAGCAGACCGTCTTCAAACCTCTAGCTTCAAACTTCGTCGATCTGACAAGGAGTAATTGAAGTTTACGAATCGAAAGATTCCTCGATGCACGGGATTCTACGAACGACTTGAGAAATATATTTGTCACTCGTGGGCAGATTTTTTAATTTGCATCTCCGTTCAAACTCGGTGCAACTGCCACGTTGAATCAATTTAAGGAGGGGCTTAGAAGAACGTAAAGACACATCTACAAACATAATGAGTGCAAATAGTTGCGTGGACTGGCTTGACAAAAAGCCTCGAAGAGTCTGCGCTGGGGTACAAACAGCTGTATCGAAGAAGTTTTCTCAAACTTCTCCACACAGATCTCATCGATCAAAACGTACAAGTTCGACCATTCAGACCTCACAAAAGCTCGAAAAGTTTGCGCTACAGTACGCTAGAGTAGAAACAGCTTTGTCAAACGAGTTTCAACTTTTATCAACCTTTTCAAACGTCTCTATACAGATCTCACCAAACAACACACTCGAAACTCGTTCGATGAAAGAATTGAAATGATAAAGAACAATTTAAATGTAATAGTAACGTTGAACAATAATTTAATAATCGAAATACAACGAAAGGCCGAAACTTAAAAAGCACGAGAAACTTTATCAGGCAACTTTATGCTCTCAGCTATTTTCAAAATTCATAATCGCGACAATCAAAACTGACGAAGAATTCAAAGAGTTCGATGAATAACTGTATCAAACGAATCATTTGTGTATCTTCTGAAATTTCACAAAATCGACCAAAAGGACTCAACGAATTCTAGGATAAAGATATTTACATAAACCATAAACAAACTGACAACGAGCAGAGGAGATTGCTCTCATTGCAATGCTATGGAATCTTATTCGGTTAGAATAAAATTACATTCAAGATTCAATATTCATCGACAAAGAAAAATCATTTCGCCGCTTATAAACTATGAACTATACTATTTACAACTATAAACTATAAACTATATTGTAAACTATATACTATGTTGTTAAACTACTTATAAACTATAAACGATATTATTTACAACGTTTCAAACAACATACAACTAATTGCAAAAGATCACGACATAAAATTGAAGATATATGTTCTCTGTATCGGAAAGTAGATTATACGAAAATTCGATAGAAATTATTTTTCATCGTAGATATTAATCATTTCCACCGTGATTTGACAGAAAAATGGAAAACAGACGAGGGTTAATAATTTCAAGAAACCAACTTACCCTTTCACTCTCACCCACGCTCCTCCATCAAACTTGGTCCAATCTTTCTGTCCAAACTTCTCCAACTTGGTTTTCGAAACTCGGAAAAAAAACCAGGCAACTACGGGAATACAAACAACTGCACGAACCGGACCACGTTTTCGGTTATCACCGACCCTTCGACTTGTTCTTCGCACCGAATCACCGGATGATCAGCAGCGACTGATCCGGAAGCTTTGCTCGCGAGCACGCGGCCAGCCGGAAGAGCACGGAGAGAAGGGACGGAAGGGAACGTTCGCGAGCCGAGTACCACGCCGTACTGAACGTTCGCCACGGGTGCAATAGTTTTGACACGCCGCCGGCTACGTCCGCTCGTACGGCGACGCGACAACCGTTCACCGCGCATGTGCCGATATAATCCACGCTTCTACGCGGCCCCACACGCGCGACCCACCACACGTGGAAACTAGAGATGGGATCGAGTACCTCACAAGCACCGGTTCGAACCTTTGATCCTTCGACACGAACAATCTTTCAACACTGGCACGCTCGAAACAATGCGCAAGTGCAATGCGCAGGTATCAAGTGCGCAGAAATCTAACGCGCAGGTATCAAGTGCGCAGAAGTCTAATGCGCAGGTATCTAGTGCACAGGTGTTTACTACGCATGCAACTGACGTTTATAAGAGATCCTGTCTTTAAACTGTAATAAAGAATAATGCCATCAAGTGTTGCATCCTTTTTTTCTGTCTTCCATTTTGCTAAAACACACGCTATAATTTCGATTACTTGTGAAATTTCAAATCCTCGCTGGACGAAAGTATGTTTCTCTTTCTCTATAAGCGATTTTCAAATGTTGTGCCGAATGCGCAGAAGTCTAATGCGCAGGTGTCTAGTGCGCAGAAGTCTACTGCGCATGCAACTGTTTAAGTTGATGATATAAAGAACATTACCATCAAGTGTTGCATCCTTTTTTCTGTCTTCCACTTTACTAAAATCACTTCGCACGCACACACATACGCTACAATTTCGATTACCTGTGAAATTTTAAATCTCACGAGTCCATTTCCATGCTCACAGTATACTCAAACCAAAAGTTTGTGGTTAAGTTCAGATGGTGTGAAGATTTGGCTACTGTTTCAAACCCAAATGAATACATCACGAGTATCCTCGTCGAAATAATTTTATTTTCATGCAGTGTTCGAATACCCACGAAACGAAAGTCCGATACTGAACTTGACTCGAATTCGTAGACACGTATTGAGCTTGATCCCATCCCTAGTGGAAACGTCCGAGTGGAGATGAAGAGGGGTTGGTCTCGCTTGGCCCGAGGGTGTTTTGACTCGCGAGCGCCGCTTCGTCCAGTCGACCCCCGGTTTTCTTCTCCAAGGATCTACAGAGGACGGGGAAACACGCACAGAGGGTGTCTGCCGCGATCCGTCGGGTGATCGATGAACAAGTGGCGAGGAAAGGGTGGAAGGTCTAGGATTCTCAGGTGAAATTGTTGTTTGAAGGGCTGCAGTCCGGTATTCGTGGAATGAATTGTTTGGTTCTTTTTGTACGACGTGGGGAAAAGAAAGGTGAAGACTTGGAAGTACAGTCTAAAAGTTAGGAACGTCTTTTATAATTGTATTACACAGATACAGAAACCTTGTGTAATTACAACTTATAATAACTTGAGCAACTGGTAACAGAATAAGATGATATCAAAATCGACAGGGTACTTCAGACGTTGAACAATGTACAGGCTGCTCGACTGTTTGAAATGATGACAGCACCTCTGTCCGCGTTGCAATTAGCGATTAGAATGGAAATTATACCGTAGGGGCGAGTAACGAGATTACCATAATTGAACGTACTAAAAACTGTATGCCAGGGAGAGGGCATTACGACTCGGATTAGACAGTAGGGCCAAGTTAGATCATTGAAATTAGACGTTGGGGACGATTATGTATCAGCTGTATAGTTTAGCACCGAGGCTAGGCAATGGGACGCATAATTGTTCCTAGAATCAGGACTAGATTCTAACGTTGAACTAATCTCAAATTGCAGAGTCGGGTCTAGATCTAGACGAGCTGGGACTAATTATTGTCTGCACGGGTACGTAGAATAAATTGAACCCTGAGATTTGAGTCAGATCCAAAGTACACGGCACTATAAAAATAGACACAGAATAAACCACAGTCTTAAACACCGTGACGACACAGTGCTTAAGCACTTGGTACTTCGACGAATCGAGCACAGTAATCTGGGTAATTCGGCGGGTCGAGTGATAAAATCGAGTGATGTTGTTTCACAATTCAGCTACTCAACCTCGCCAGAATGTTGTCCATCCGGATCAATATCGAAGTAAAATCTCGACGACGAGGAATCCGAGAAATTTTCTTCGAACGAGGGAGGTTATCGAAGCGAATCAACAAGTTACTCGTAACGCCGTTTCATCTGGTTCAAGTAGAATTCTAGTCGTTCTCACGACTGATCAGTCTCGATCAGAATTTGTCATTAAACCGAGAAAGAACGAGAGAGACAGAGAAAGAGAGAGAGAGAGAGAGGGGGGAGAGAGAGAAGGAGATTTGGCCGGAAGGGGAAGTCAATGGCAACTAGAAGTTGGCGATAGTATTCAGTCTCCAAGTTCTCACGGTCTTGTTGCCCTTTCAATCAATGTAATTGCCATTCGATGAAGTTTCGGTACGAGCTAACGGTGACGATGATGCCCTCGCGATACTTTCTTCCTCGAACGTGAACGCTTCAAACTGCTGTTGCAACTTTGTAAAGCAAACCTCACATGCCAGTTAGCTTGGTTTCATTTTAAATCGCGAAACAGTTTCACCTTTGGTAGTTTTCGACTGAATTCGTTTTTTTTCTCTTTTTTTTTTTTTTTTTCTTTCAAAATGTTTTTACATCGTGCAGTGGTGTGAGAAAATAAGGATACTTTTACTGGAGACTGCAAAAGATTTTGAAGATCAAAGTTCTGTCTTTGCAACGACTGTCTTTGAAACATTTGAAGATTAAAGAAATAAATAAATAAATAATTATTTAATAATGAAATAAAAAATTTAGAATCTTGCGTAGTTTCTTTTGTAACTTTTATTGGTTCGTTCGCGTCATTCTACGCAGTTTTGCGCCATTTCTTCTACTTCTCCATAATTCTGAAGTTCCACATAGTAGCAGCTTTTTCACATTTTCACTGCGATATCATATTGTTCTAAAAGCTTTCTGAATTTAGAACATAAAATTCCGAAACGTGACAATTTCATCGTCCAACATTCAATATTCAAAGTTCAATAAAAAAAAAAAAGGCTTATGGAAAGAAAGAAAATCATACAGCGAGTTTCAAGGACCACGTTGCAGAGAGAAAGTTCGAATTCTCGAAATTCCAGAAGCCAAGTGGATCTAGACATAAAAGTTTTCGTTTGAATTACAAACGTAGTATGCAACATGTGTACGTTTCTCTTCAAAACTAACAATTCTAATTCACATTCCCTTGCATCAGCGCATCAGAGATACGTCCCGTGAGACACACACGTATTAGAGAGTATGTAAAATGACAGAACGATACAAAGACGATCGCTGAATGATAGAATGACAGATGATACTCGAACGGTGGGATACGCTCATGCAGGGTAGAACAGAAATGATAGAATGACAGTAGAACGGAGAACAGAGGCATAGAATATCAGAGGATGAAACAGAGTAGATGATAGGCAAGTATTATACATTTCTGGTGATGTGACTCTAGGAAGCGACGGCAGAAATGTAGAAATGCAAATAGATATTGCATACATATTATATATGTCATGTATTCTATTCTATTATATATAGTATATCTAGTATATATTATATTATATTATATTATATATTATACAGTATACGGATACTTGTATTATCCACTACATTATATTATTATACTACATGTAATATATGAATCCAGGATCAAGCAATAATTTCTATGAACGAAAATTGTTACTCGAAAAAAGTTACTCGTGAATTTGTTAAAAGTTGCTGTTAAAAAAAATTGGTGTTACTCGTAAAATTGCAGAATTTAGGCGAACGATTTGAGGCAAAGATTCTTTCCCCTTACTCTCTAATTTTGATTTGAATTTCAAGGTTGAAAAAAATTTTTCTTTTTTTGTATCGTATTCTTTTCATCACGAAAGCAAAACTCTTCCAAGGAACCATAAATTGCAACCTAATAGTTCTCTTGAAAAATGGCAAAAAAGTTTCTTGCGAACGCGTGCGTCCTAACAGCGACTTTATGGTTCTGAACGCGTGGATGTCTATATTGCGTGATGTTTGTATTTCGAATAATGTTAATAGTTAATTCTATCATTTGATTATTTAGACTCACATCAACGTTACAATTATGATAAATCAAATATTAGTGAAACCTAATAAGAAAATTATGTAAAATAAACATCCACGCGTCCAGAACCATAAAGTCGCTGTTACGACTTTATACGAACGTACGCGTAATGTTAAACGAACTATTTTGCCAGTTTTCAGAAAAACTGTTAGTCAGTATTTGTGACCTATGGTACCTTAGAAAAGGGATCAATTTTCCAACAGATTCTTTACACGTATTTCAATCCAATCGAAGGTGTAGAATTCAGCTTCTACAAAAATTGTATAGAAATTCTGTTTCCGATAAGTTATTGTCAATTATCTGAATATTTCCGCGACGAATAGTTCCACAGATTGATGCATTGTGCACGGTCGTGCGATACTCTTGAAAATCTGACAGGGAACACGACGTGATTCAACCGTCGTGAGAAAAATAAGAAGAAGAGGAAGAAGAAGAGGAGGAGTGGGAAGAAGAAGCGAGGTAAGTTGGGCGGGAAATTGCATTACCGCATAATTGGATGCCGGATGTTTATGCGAGGAATTACATCGGCATGGAATCCGGTGCTCCGCGACCGTTATTGCTCGATTCACGTCGATATTGCTTTCAGCAAGCCGCGATGCGACTGTCATCCACCATTACCGAACGATCCCCTCGCAAACTCGCCATTATTTCGCGGTATAATGGAACTGCAGCTTGGCTCTACCTTCCGAGCCATTACACGTAAGAATAATGACTGATACCACGTTAATAATAAATATAAAATACATTAAAATAAACAATAAACATGACCAATACACGATTGTCCTCTTAGACAAAAATCCCGAAATATTGCGCAGCGTCGTTTCGAGTCTCGCCGATGACAAATTCCAAGAAAGTATTGCACTCTCACGAACGATTATTACGATCATTATCTCAATTTACTCGCAAGGGAGAGATTTGGCTCAGATTCGGCTGCTTCCGAGTGCTCATTTC